CAGTCATTTTATAAAAATCCCAACATAAATTAAAAGAGACTCATGAGTAGCTAGACAAATGAGTTTGAGCCATTTATGTTTCAAATAGCAGTACATCTCGGAGACGTCTGCATTTACATCTGCAAGATGTAGGCTATTATTATTATTATTTTTTTTTTTTTTGAGTGTTTGCTCTTCTGCAATACGTCCTGATAGATGTCATTTAGACATTTAGAAGATATCATATAGACATTAGTTTAAGATTTAGAATGAAACTGCCTTTTCTAAGATGTTTATCAGATGTTTTACATGCTTTCCAAATTAACAGCAGACATCTTACAGACGTACATGTGTGCTAAACATAATGCTTGACTTTTGTTTGTTGTTAGAAAACTAGTTAGTGTGAAAATTGTGTTTTCAAAATGTCCACAGGTTCAGAAGTGCCCACAGATGAAGAATCCAATAATAATTTTATTGCAGTTAATATTAGCCTATCTTTTCAAGAAATATGATTGTTTTTGCTCTTCTTTATGCCATTCATCTCTTATCAACATGTGGTGTAAAAGAGAATGTCAATCATGCATAGTAAGTAATGTACTTAGTGTTTGCCCTCAAAATGTAGCCTAAATATCTGTTGTTGGATTAATTAGACTCCACAATAAATGGCTTTGCTAATGAGCAACATCTTATAATTTATCTCTGACCTTGACAATAATTATTCTTCTCTGACTGTCCACTGCTGTATCAACAAGACGATGATCAGCCAAAGTTCTGCTCTGAGAAAGTTAAACACAGTCTGTTGTGGGATGCCTGCGAGACTTTGAGAAGGGATCGCATAACCAGAGGCCATCTGGTAAACTGTTTTTATCAAGGGCGTGCCACTCCTTCTCAAAGAAGATGTGAATAACATTTGCGGGATGAAGAGTGAGCACTGGTATAACACCATCTGTTTCTCTACCAGAGGTGTTGACACTTTGTATGAAATAATTAAATTCTTTCCTGTATATTTTTAATGAATGATACTCATTAGGCAGAACAAAACCACAACATATTCCCAGTGTTTTTACTTTGATTTAGATAAAAGGGGTTAATGCAGCGTAACAACTGTCACACCTAATGTGAAAAGCAGATTGTTAAACCATCAAAAGACTTTTCCATGACGCAAAGGTGTGATTAGCAATCAAAATAACACAAAGTCTAAAAGCTGCAAATGTATCAAATTGAACTAAAGTGTTGGTGACATGAAAGTAGATGCTTTAAAGGGATAGTTCGCCCCAAAAAATTAGAATTGTGACATTATTTTACCCACTTTCAAGTTATTCTAAACCTGCTATTTTTTATTCTGGAAAATAAAAGGAGAATCATTGGAGAACCTTTACACAATCCTTTAAATATAATGATCATACTCCAAAATTGCATATGATTGCCTTATCATTTTTATAGCAGAAGATTGTAATGATTCTTTTTTAAGTTTTCCTTTTTGAGTGAACTATTCCTTAAAGAAAAATAGTCCATTGGATCACCTGTCAAATGATGATTTGTCCTTCTTTATGTGTGACCGAACTAAAAGGAGTGTGAATGATAGATTTGTCTGAACAAGGGTTCTGAGGTCACATGCCCCACATTCTCGGTTAGTTCACCCAAAAATTAAAATTAAGTAATTAATGAATCATCCCAATGCTGTACCAACCCCGTAAGACCTTCGTTCGTCTTCAAAAAACACAAATTAATATATTTTTTTTACTAAATTTGAGAGGTGGATAACTTCTATACATAGGCTGCCTAAAGGATTGAAACTTGATGGCCCAGAAAGTCAATGAAGAAAATGTTTAAATATTCCATGTGACTACAGTGGCTACAGTGACTAAAGTTTATCAAGCGACGAGAATACTTTTTGTGCGTAAAAATGTATGCTATGTAGCCTAAGCCTATGTAGCAGTGATCCACCTCTCAAATTTAATCCAAAATATCTTAATTTGTGTTCCGAAGACGAACGAAGGTCTTACGGGGTTGGTACAGCATGGGGGTGAGTAATTAATGACTTAATTTTCATTTTTGGGTGAACTATCCCTTTAAGCTAAGATGCTCATTTCACTGTTCAACAGGTTCTTGCTGCATCCCAAGACGAGGCAGCTGTTTATAAAGGGTTGACCAACCTGTCCAGCTGGACATCTGACTTGTTCTATAGTCAGTTTGCTCTCAAAAAACACAACCCCTGTAGCAGCTGTGCCCTTTGACCCACTGATTCAACTCTTGAGTTTGGCTCTGTTAACATCCCTGAAACATTATAGTCATGGTCAAGTCAATACCCTTCCACTCTAATGGCATGCTTTGTAAGCACTTAATCTTTTAAACTCCTTTTTGTTTTGGTTGGTCTGATAATAAAATGTTATATGCTTTTATTGCATTTACAATATCTTAGCGTCCTCTGTTTTCTTCATCTATTCCCCATCCCCACCTCTAACTTTAAATGAGTTGATTGCTACCCTCTGCTGGTTTTGATTTGAAAGTACAATTTGAACTTTTGATTCAACTTACTGCAAAACACAAAAGCAACGTCCAAAACATTGACCACCAATGAAATCGGAGTAATTTAGGTCAAAAAGTCAAAATGAACATGAAAGAGATAAAATATGAACATTAGCTATTTATTGCAATTGCATCAAACTTGAAAAAGAATATAAACCTAAAAAAAACCTCAAAGTGTTTTTCGCTCAAAAGTGTCTTTAATTAATAGTTTGACGGTTGCTAAGGCGTCTCTTTGTTTCCTCAACAATGTCCCCTCTGTGCACTGTCCGCATGCAGTCTCTGAATGAGAACTTGAAACTCTTGCTGCCTGGCAACCTGTTTTTGTTATATCCAATGCTTCATGCTGAGCTGGCTTAATTTTTTGATTCGAACTCTTCACTGTCTACTTAGTCATGTTTGAATGACAGCCACTCTGCTGTAAGTAAGTTGACCTTGATTTTAAGAATCTATCTATCTATCTATCTATCTATCTATCTATCTATCTATCTATCTATCTATCTATCTATCTATCTATCTATCTATCTATCTATCTATCTATCTATCTATCTATCTATCTATCTATCTATCTATCTATCTATCTATCTATCTATCTATCTATCTATCTATCTATCTATCTATCTATCTATCTATCTAGCTATCTATCTAGCTATCTAGCTATCTATTTACTATTGCATAATGTTTGTTTATCCATTATTTAATGTCTTATTAACATTATTATTATTACAGTAACAAAGATTTTAGCTTTTTTTTAGACAGTATAATTACATTTCTATCACTCAAGTCATCATCTTGCTCATGGTTTTGCATATATACTGGCATTTATCTGATAAGATTCAATGAAATTCATGAAATTGTTGGTGCATTGAAAAGAGTAACCATTTTATTCATCATCAGATCATTGCTCTGAACATTAGGATGTGGCTGATTCACAATGAATCTTCCTGAGCCTTTGGATACTACCACGTCTGTTGTTGACCTCAGAAGAAAGCTGCTCTTTTCTGTGAGTCAAAACTTGATCTCAAGCCGGAGTTGTGGACTCATCCCGCCACACCCAGTTCCCCTTGATCCATGGAACGTGAAAGCTCCGGACTTCACCCCGAAACTCTACAGATCCGTTGGCTTGCCACGGATCAAGAGCAAAAACATTCACCTGGTTAAATCAAATGATAGTGTGGATCAAAAATCTTTTGTTTTGGAAAAGATTAAGGATGGTACTTCGACATTATCTCAACACAAAGAACAATCATTTCTCACATTCTACAAACCACCAGACTCACTAGAGACAAAACTGCTGTTTGTGAGAGCAGGGACGAATCCTGTCGGGCCTTACAAAGATCCAAAACCTCACAACTTCAGACCTGTAAGTTTTTACAAAAGATTATTGCCAACATTATCTGCACTGCACTGTATCAACACTAGATGACAGTCTTTATAATACATTTACTGTAAACACTCCTTATCCAATTGCAGTGTGCTGAGGGAATGCCAGACATGGTGACTTCTATAAAGGATCCAAACTGCTTGTTCTTAAAGTCTCAATGCCTAAAAGCAGGTGTATTATTATTTTTTAAGACTTTATGATTGAAAACGTTTTTTTTTTCCTTTTTTTCCCAACACTGAACATTGGGTTGGTAAAAATGGTGTTTATTGCCTTTGTGTTTGTACAAGCAATCTTACTCATCTAATAAAAAACATTGTATAGAACAAAGGTCTTTAAAACCACCCAGTGACCCAGCATGTTACTGATAAGCTTTGCATTTTCTTTCAATGCCTCAACAGTCACTCACAGCCATCCTGACCTGAACCCTTCGCACAGAGACAAAATGGACACTTTCAAACCAGCAGAGCTTAAATGGGACCCAAGCCTCATACTACCAAAGATGCCATGGCCTCCAAAATCTGCATCTTATACAGTGAGCATGTAGAAAACACCCATATCTTCAACCAATTAACAGATTTATGAACTTGGAAACATTTTACTCTCTGTATTACAGAGATATCGACGCAGAAGAGGTGTATATAGTGCCTTAATGGACCGAATTGAAGAAAAGTTGACCAACTCATGGAGGAAATGAATCTGTTTCAAGAGAAAAAAAAGAAGGTTGCTGTTTTGTCTGTTTATTCACTCATGTTATTACAGTAGGCCTAATGTTTATTACACACTTTCTGTTTATTTATTTTTTTGATAAACTGTACAAAAAAAGCAAACAGGCAAAACAGATTTTTTTATATTGCACAAACAAAATAAATGTAAGCACTGCATTAATATAAATAAAGATCAAATTTTACAAACGAGGTGTTAAATTTTGTTTTTACATGTAATATTATAAATGTTATCAAATATTCGAATATTATTAAATGTCTTAATAAAAGTTTTTATAGTTATAGACATTGAAGCTATAAACACTTGCAGCTTTCTAATTTTTCCTCTGTATTCATTTTGGGCGCATGACCTCCATTTGCGTTGACCAATCATTTTAAACGTAAACAAATGAGCTGCTGCGTGTGCGCGTGAGTGCAGGCGCGCGCTGCGTCAGTCAGTAGCACGCAGAGCAGAGCTACTACCAGGGCGTCATGAATGAAGTCTGAACGGTAAGTTGAATGGGCGACTGTGAGTTTAGTTTTAAAACTTTTAACTAAAGATAATGGATACAGACTCACCCTTTTATATTAAAGCTCATTTTGTCTGCGCGTCATGATTAATTCATTTACTTAAACTGGCCCCAGGCGCGAGCTGCGGTTCATGCGGTTTAAACATCCACATATTTTCTCCAGAGCTGCTGTCACTTCGATTAAGGTAATATTTGCAGAATATACGGATGTAGTCACCGTTTAGGATGGATAAATACGACGTCTGCGTAGACTTTAGTGGCATTGAGAAAAGTTTCGATTCGACAGGTGGATTGACTTCCAAAGAAACTACGTGCTCAGCAGAACTCTCTTATCGCGCTCGCTTTCATTGTTGAACCACCCTATTTATCAGTTTCTAGGAAACATTGCGTCATAAGTTAATTACATTGCGTACTGAGATATCTTACAACACACCCATGTTCACATTAATATAATTTGTACATTAATGAAATGCTCCCTCTCGAAATTTTTAACGTTACGTCACGTAGGCTGTAATGTGTAAAATTTGCGAGATATTTTGTCGTAATGCAGTATTGGTATATATTTTTATATATAGATTTTGAGTTTATGATACTATACTCTCCTAAATGTACTATACATATATAAATACAATATTTAATGTAATTTTAATGAACATATTTAGGCACTGCTTTTAACCTTCTCAGTCAGATAAAGTGGGACAGAAGTCAATGAAACGTGGTTGATATTAGAATTGTCATATTAGCCTGAAGGAATAAAGTTAACACAAAAAATTAAATTTTGTCATTGCTTATCCTCAAGTTGTTCCAAACTTATATGAGTTTATTTCTTCTGTTGAACAAAAAAGAAGATATTTTGAAGAATGTTGGTACCAGTCAGTTGATGGCCTGCCTCCATTGACTTCGACAGGTGGAGTGACTTTTTATTCACTCCAGCTGTCTTGGATAGTACTTTTGGTTCTTGATTTACTTTTGGATAGTATTTTTTTTTCCTACGATGGAAGTCAATGGCTACAGTCAACTGACTGGTTACCAACATTCTTCAAAATATCTCCTTTTTTGTTCAACAGAAGAAAGAAACAGTTTGGAACTATTTGCGGGTGAGTAAGTAATATGAAAAACAAATTTGGGGGGTAAACTATCCCTTTAAGGTGGTCTTGTTGGTGTTTGGAACATTAATACAGGTTATTTAGTTGCGTAAAGCGGTTTACCAGGTCTAACCAGCTCGAGCAAGGTCTACCATGTTAGTTTAACCCTTACCAGCTGGTAGTCCAGTCTTAATTTAGATCTGTTTGGACCAACTACTTTGAAACCATTGTTGATTATGGTCTATGAAGGCTAATAACATTATGATTTAGGATCATGGGTCAGATTTTTTTTTTAAAGTAACTCTGAAAGTCTTGTTTTATTTGACATGTAAAGATAAACTGGGACAGTATTTAAAACATTTCCTCACAAATAATTAATTGTCATTATCCAAATTGTATTCGATCATTCAATCACCATTTATAAACCACAATGTGCCTATGTATGACCTTTTAGGCACGCATTGGATGTGCAACTGGGATTTTGGACCTATGGAACATCATCCTAAACTCCTGTTGTTCTCACACTCCTGAGGGAAATGGGGAACGTAATATCAGAGCAACCCAACTTTCTTTCCAGTCTTCCGTTCTGTAATTCTCTTCATATCTCTATTCTGGGTCTGGACTCAGCTGGCAAAACAACAGTGCTGTACCGTCTGCAGTTCAATGAGTTTGTCAACACCGTCCCCACCAAAGGTTTCAATGCGGAGAAGGTCCGATTAGCTGTCGGGGACTCACGGACAGTGACGTTTCACTTTTGGGACGTCGGCGGCCATGAGAAACTGCGCCCACTCTGGAAGTCCTATACACGATGCGCGGATGGCATCATGTTTGTTGTGGACTCTCTGGACTCGGAGAGGATGGAAGAGGCTAAGACTGAGCTTTACAAAATCGCTCGCTCCTCTGATAATCAAGGAGTGCCTGTGCTGATTATTGCAAACAAGCAGGACTTGAGACGGGCTCTGTCACTGTCCCAGATAGAGACCATGCTGGCGCTCAAAGAACTGGGACCCTCTACCCCATGGCACCTGCAGCCCACCTGTGCCATCATCGGTGATGGTCTCAAAGAAGGACTCGATAAACTTCATGACATGATCCTAAAACGAAGAAAGATGCTCAAACAGCAAAAACAGAAAAATAGACCGTAAATGTATTATATAAATGGGTGGGAAAAGAACAATAGTTGTTAACTGTCATTTTTATGTGCCCATAGTTGGTCAAAACCAACATGCACTTTAGTTGTTTACTTTCTTGTTGTTTACTTCTGATTGTTTACTATCATTTAGAAATATATAAACTTAATTATCACACTGAAGGATGATTAATGTTGCTGGTTTTATTTAGAATGTGTCTTTACAATAAAAGGGCTTTCTATGTTTATTCTAAGTTGTCACATGTTGTAATAATTGCACACACAGACTTTAATGTCTGCCAAGTCATTTTAGGTTTAGGTAATTTTTCCTTACAATCATTGAGAAATAGCTTGCCTAACAAAGAAAAATCTGTCATTTACTCTCTCTCTCTCTCTTTTTTTTTTTTTTTTACTGAATAATAACTTAAGTTTCAGTCTGTTCCTCACACAAAGCTATTATGATGCACAATATCATTCTAAAAAATGCTGGGTTGTTTCAACCCAAATTTGGGTCAAATACTGTATGGACAAACCCAAATGTTGGGTTAAACTGAGATTTATTTGCATTCCAGTGAGAAATCTGGAATTTGAGCTCTTCTTTGTATGTGGGATTTGAACAAAAAGCATAGGTTGTCCAACAAATTCATACACTCTAAAACATTCTGGGTTGTTTCAACTCCAATTTGGGTAAAATATGGACAAACCCAAAATGTTGGGTTAAAAATGTCACTAAAAAATTACAGTTGAAAGTGAAAATTGAAGTTGGGTTAATTTAAATTTGGATTTGTCCATATTTGACCCAAATTTGGGTTGAAACATCCCAGCATTGTTTAGAGCATACACTCTAAACATGTTGGGTTGTTTTAACCCAACTTTGGGTCAAATATGGACAAACCCAAACGTTGGGTTAAAAATGTAATTAAAAAATTTAACCCAATGTCTGGCTTTGTCCATATTTGACCCAAAGTTGAGTAACTGCCGACAGTTATTTTTGCATGCTGTATTCCTTTATTGCTTTTACATTATATTACCATTAAATTATGGTCACTAATCTTTATAAACGCTAATAATTTAATAACACCATCAAATGTAATTTAAATACACATTTCATATGGCTTCATTATATAAAATGTGATGTCTAAATTTTATTTTTTATTTATACAATGATAAAGAATTTGAATATTGACCATCTTTTGGTTTTGGCTCCTATGGGCCAGAATTTAGATTTTGGTGCTTTACGTATTGTATGGCTTTAGAAAACTTATACTGAACAGCAGTTATGGAGAGCTTTTATGATACTTTCATGGTGCTTTTGTGTCACTTTTAAAGCACGAAAACTTCTGTCCCTGTTTATAATTGCATGATCTTAGAATTTCTCCTTTTGTGTTTCATGGCAGAAAGAAAGTCATGCGGGTTTGGAACGACATGATGGTGAGTAAAAATGCCAGCATTGGTATTTTTAAGTGAACTATCCCTTTAACTCATCCCTGAGTACTTGGAGCCTTGCACCACCACATTCTTTGGTTCAGTAACACTAAGGTGAGGGTGGAATGCATCGTAGATAACAAGACTTTGGGCCCCTCTATCTGTTATCAGATTAGAAATGACCCTTTATCTGTGATGCACCCCCCTTTGCAGGCATCAGAAACACAGAAATAGCCCAACTGGGTTGGGATTTATAGGATTTGCCTGCTGTGTGTCACATGCGTCCCTAAATTCCAGTCCTGCCTCATAAATCCAGAGCGACTGGGACTCTTCGCCCCCATTCCATTGATGTCAGTAATGCTGAGCTGGGATGGTGACAGACTGGAAAAAATCTGCAGTGCAGTTATTCCCATACTTTCGCTAGACTGATATTGAACTGCTGGTCAGTACCACACTAATAGTGGCCCCAAAACACTTTTGTACACTTTAAACAAACTTGTGAATCTTGTTGCGTTTGATAAGATGATAAAATATTAAACCAAATGACATTTACAGGCTCTCAGAACCAGTTCGGTAAGGTATTTTTTTTTACACAGGGGTAGTAGTTGTGCTAACGTTTGACAACCACAAAGTGTCCAAACACTTAACCATATTGAACAGTATAATAAAAAATGTAAAACCTAACAAACTTTAATATTTTCCTTGTGTTTGTTAGCTCAGAAATGCCAATGGATTTGTTTTGTATCTAATTGATACATTTTTATCTAGCCCTTAGTACATTGTGCACATATTTTTCTGTAGACGGGGGTAAAAAAAAAAGGAAAAAAGATTAGATTACCAATTATGTGACTGCTTGTAAAAGAATAGAGTGTAACGGAGAAAGTCTTTTTTTGTTATAATGGTGCTTTTCTAGAAATACAAAATGCTTGTTGTCGCTTTTAAACAATTGTAGGGGACTTTCACTTGTCAAAGCAGTTTTAGACATTGTTTCAAGGAAAACTGTGAGCTTGTGTTCAGTTATCTCTGAAACCCTGCAGTGCAGTAGTCCATGAGATTTTGTGGGAAAGAGAGAGGTGTAGTGACCTGGCTCTCCACGCAGACCCCCCTCCACTCCCCCGTCTGTATCTGATGACAGTGTGTTGGCAGGCTGCTTTTGTTCAGCTCTGCTCTCATCTCATTCCAGCTTGAGGGATGAGCTTGGGGTAGATGGGGGGTCTTTAGCTGTTTTCCCTGTCCTTTTGTCTGAAAAATAATTCTCAGTGGGTTCAAAAGGGTGCTGCGCTCGCTGATATTAGAAAAAGTGTTCATTCTGACAAACATCATGAGATTAAAAGACTTTGTGGGCTAAATAGGTAATGTTTTGTTCTTTTAGAACTAAGTAAACATCATGTTCTTGTAGTCGCAAGTGTCTGGTTTATATCAGTGTGCTGTCACCGATAATGTGATCACCACAAAGATCATAATCTTGTTTAGCGTGGTAAACACTGATTGCATTTAATCCTTATGGCTTTAGTTGTCATATGGTCTGTATTCATCCTAATGGTTGTTAGTCCAGCCATGTTTGATCCAGTCTCGGCAATAAATTACTGAGTTGAAAACTAGCTGGTGCTTGTCTTAAAGAAACATTGGTATCTGCGTTCCCACAGTCATGGAAACCTGGATTTCAGACCTATGAAAATGGGTAAAATATGAATAAACATCTTGTTAATTTTAACTGTAAATGTAGTTTTTTAAATATACTGTATATTATTGCTTTTTTAACAATTCAAAAGTGTGGGGTTTGTCAGATTTATTATTTTTTTTTAAAGATGTGTATGCTCACCCAGATTGCATTCATTTGATCAAAATACAGTAAAATATTACAATTTAAATAACCTTTTCTTATTTAATATATTTTAAAATGTAATTTATTCCTGTGGTGGTAAAGCATCATTACTCAAGTCTTCAGTGCCACATGATCCTTCAAAAATCATTCTGATTTGCTGCTGTGCAATAGTTTACATAGTGCTGCATTTGTCTTTGTGCTGAAAGTGTTTCTTAATAATAATAATAGATGATTCTTGTGAGTTATTTAATCTGTTCTGCCGAGTAATTGAACTGATTAATTAAAGCTGTAATTTGAGGAAATTGTTACACTATAGTGCATGTCAGGGAAAGAGCTAAGCAAAAACAGATCCTCATGTGAATAAAAGAACAACTCAATCAAGTCAGACTAGTTTTGAGGAGGAATGTGCTTTTTCTGTAGTGTGAGTTCCCCTACCCTATTCCTCCTTGCTGTTTATGTAGAATGCTAAAGTTAGTTTTGCAGATAAGTGACAGTCTCTTAAATGTAATTTTTGAACCTTTAGTTCAGTGGAAGTCAGGAAGTATAGTTTAAAAAAAAGCGGGTTATCAGATAAATGACTTCAGGACTTTTGGCATGGAAAACAGATGTGCATACAGCATTTTTTTCCCAACCATTTGGCAATTTCAAAAGTACAATTGAACTAAGACGTGGATGTTTTTTTCTGTTTTCTGTTAATGGCTCAATAGACAGGTCTCTGCAGATCTCAGCAATACCAAGTAAATATTGCAATAGAAATTTACTTTAAGAGCGAGTCAGCAAGCATGCATGTAGAAACATGCTGAAACATACACAACCAGCTTTTCAGATGACAAAATAATTTTTCACACAACAGGGTGTTAAAAAAGGTCTACAGGTACAGTATGCATTGTATCAAAGAGTTTTGGATGCCTGTATATATATATTTTTTTTCATCCAAGATCCCAATCAAAGGAATGTCATGAATGAGATTATATACAATGTTTACTCCTTTTCTTTGTGGGACACCAGGTGAATTCAAAATTAGAATAATACAAATTTGTATATAAATATAAATAATATAGTATGTGATAGGTAAAATATTTGTATTTTTTTGAAAGAGTCTTAGGTTAATAAAATTGAATTAAATATTATTAATGTAAAATAACTTTTTTCAGTTTTAATCTAAAATGTCATTTACTGTATTCCTGTGATCATAGCTGGATTTTCAGCAGTCTTCAGGGTCACATGATCTTTCAGAAATCATTCTAATAGATGATTTGCTGCTCAAGAAACATTTACTATTATCTATGTTTAAAATAGCCTGATGCTTATTTTTGTTTTGTAAAACATGACACATTTTTTTTCAGGATTCTTTAATGAATAAAGGTCTAGAAATGTTTTGTATCATACAAATCATACAAATTTCTTTACTGTCACTTTTGGAGTTTCATAGTCTCCTTTCACTTCCATTTTATGGAAAAGAAGATTTTCATTCAGAAATTCATCTTTGGTGTTTAACGGAAGAGAGAGTTTGGAATGACATGAGGTTGAGTATGAATGAATTTTCTTTGAGTAAATAATGTAGCTTTATTAAACAATTTTAGAGTTGGAATAGCCTACTTAACAGTTACCCATGTCTTCATTAGCTATACAGGAACTCCTATAGTCAACATGTAGGCTAATGTATATTTGTTTGTTATAGTGTGTTATGTTTACCTTCAAACTAGACCACTCTGTTGGAGAACACTAATGTTTTCTCTGTCACTTTCTAAACCGCAGCTGTTTGCAGGTCTTTTCCAGACGGCTGTTCTCGCCTCTGGAGCTGTGAGTTACTTGAGCTCGTTCGCCTGTGCAAGCAAAATCCAAGAGTCCTTTGGGGGGCGCATGACGTGGGTACTGTTATGATTTTCTGTGTGCTGTGGCAAAACTTTTTTTCCACAGGGTACAGATGCTTCCTTCTGAGGAAATCAGGTGTCCAGAACAACATTGTGTTATCAGCAACTCTCTCAGTGAAGAATAAACAGC